AGTCACTAGAATTCATCGAATTGGTCGAGATCGAAAAAGAGATAAATATGTGCAAACCTTTCTGACGACATCGTAACTGCACAGACCAGCAGGCCTTCACAATGAGTGCGATGTAGATGATAAATTAATGAAGGCAACCACAGTGCACGGCATTATATATACTGTAGGTAAGCTTGTCTGAAAGCAGCGCCTGCAGAACACACGAGATTGCGCTCGGTGCAGACAAGCCTTTGAGAGCGTGAAGGCCGGAACGTTCATTCTTTTCGTATAAGTAATGGTGCTTTGCCTCGAGTAATGGCGATAGTTTATAACATCAAAATAGCAGCTTTAGTTTAATCATCACTAAGCCTTTTAAAAGCGTTCTCGTCTTCAGAATTAAGCTCCTCTGGCGCAATAGTTTCGTGGTCTGGTGAGATAATCTCTGCGGTATCGTGAGATTATGCAGCTGAAGCTATCAACTAAAAAGCTCGACCCTTTTATGGGGCTGAAATAACGTAAGATAAGTAGTGTTATAGGGCTGAAATAACGTAAGATAAGTAGTGTTATTGGTCTGCAAATGAGGTGCCGTACCGTCAAATTATGAGAAATTCTCAGTGCGTGATTGCAAAGAATATTGCAAAATAACGTTGCCAGAAGCATCATCAGAACATTTTTTGTACACATATATGTATATATTTTAATATGATAAGGCAGAAGTTTTTTATAGAGGACCAGGGAGCAATTCTTACTATAATATTTTCATGGTTATTCTCCATTTGGCGTTTTATAATTTTATTACGATTTGAAAGTTTGATAACGAGGTTTTCAAGGACATTTTATAATAACACTACTACGTTTCAAATACAACACATTATTAATTATCGAGCGAACTGGAAGCTTTGCAACATTATCAATAAATTTTGCGCTTAAAAGCTCATATATTCTTTCCGCATTTCAACCACAATACTACATATAATAATATTTTGGTCTCTGGGAGGAGCTGGAACAAAACGGTAAGGTAGCTGTAATTTGTACGAGTCACAGGCAAAACGATTAATTGATTCCCGACAATTTATTGAGAACTTTTCATTCACACATGAACATGAGATAAACTAGATAAAAATAAAACATAAACGACTCAGCCTATATTAAATTTTCAGCGTGAAATTCGTTCAACGCTGAAAAGACTATAAGAATATAATCACCCCATGACACTGACTACACTGTAAAATGTCTACCCATCCCATCACCATGATTTAATTACTCATCCATCACCATGATTTAATTACGCATCCCATTGTAATGATTTAATTACCCATCCCATCACTATGATTTAATTACTCATCCATCACCATGATTTAATTACGCATCCCATTGTAATGATTTAATTACCCATCCCATCATAACGATTTTATTACCCATCCAATCACCATGATTTGAATACCCATCCCATCACCATGATTTAATTACCCATCCAATCACCATGATTTGATTACCCATCCAATCACCATGATTTGATTACCCATCCCATCATCATGATTTATATAATTATCCATCCCATAACCACGATTTAATTACATATCTTATCACCATGATTTATTTACCCATCCCATCATGATGATTTAATTACCCATCACCATGATGATGATGATGATGATATCATGTCCTTTTTCTTAACTTTTTAGGAAGGTAAGAATAATTTACAAGTAACGTCAAGAAGGACAAACGTTCACTCAGTGTCACCAGGACAAAACGAACACTCTACTCAGAGAACTCTTCAGAAAATTCCTCCCGGCCGAAGTTAAGCAAAAGCCTTAGGCATGGTTTCTCTGACAGAGCTGCTGACTCCCAGAAGAATTTCCGCCAAGACTAGACTTTTTTTCTCTCTCTTTCTTCCTTTGTCTTCTCTCTCACGAGACGCGCTGTCTGACGAGGCTTCGTTCTGATCATCACACGTACAGCCGTCGCACGCCATGCTTCATCACTCACGGTAGAAAATCATTTTGATCGAAATCAGTCGAAAATCAATCATCTAGAGATTTTTAAATGAACTTCTTCAATGGGTCAAACTTGGTACGTATACCGAGAGCGTAAAGTAGCTTAACAATAGCACAGGGTTTAAGCAGTTTCTGTTATCAGAGAATTAACGGAGATTTTTTCAAGTTTAGGCCTTCGATTTGGTGGGTTAAGGATACGGCGATAACGGAGCCTATACAGATTACTTAATCGTAACTCTCATCATCGTAACTCATCGAGGAAATTGTAAACCGTTCATTACATCTCAACAACGCACATCGTATTAGTCTGATATTTCAACGCTGCCAAAGCGCAGTTAACCTTCTAATTTATTCACTTGTAAAATTAACCGTCATAAACCGCTGATATTCCCGATGCAGGTAATAAAATGCTACACTAATTTACTCCACGATCATAAGCATGATTGCGTCATATGGTCCCTGGTATATTTAATTGGTAATATTTACTCCCTACTAGCAGTATTAAATGAATATAATAAATGAGGAATCATCCAGGATTGCATTCATGATTACAAGTTTCATGGTCATGTTTACTTACTAGGTAACTCTTGCGTTGAGTCATTGAAATAAAAGAAGTCAGTACTTGCACCTGTGATACAATAAGTAAATATTTGATGTCAACTCACCTGGTTTAAAAATTACTGTTCTCGAATATTACTCACACATAAGCAATCCTAATTAGTTCCTTTCTCACTAAAATGATTTTTAATTAACCCGTTATCTTGAACAAAGTAAACATAACTCCACAGAAAATTTTCAAGCTTTAAATAACCGGAGCTAATGATACCGTCTGAATTTTGACTTCCAAAACCCCAATGAAGTGTTGGAGGTACAGCCGCCCAAAAGCTTCGAAACACCATCATCATGCACGAAAATTCCAATACTAAGCGCCGGAACGAGGCTTTCTCCTCATCCAAAGCGGGCGTGATTGCGTAGCATTGCGTAGGCAAGCAAAGCGCCAGTACAGGACGCGCGACTGCGGGACAAGCCTGCCTATACTTAAAAAAAATTTTAAGAGATCGTAAGTTCATCAGCCAATCATTGACGGCCTGTCAAGCAAAATCCACCAATCATAGACAAGGAAATAGAGCGTCAGTACTTACGTTCACTTAGCGAGTTTTGAAAGTATGGCCCAAGTTAACTGCTGGCTACGATCTCGGCAACAGCGGCCGCGGGTGGTCTAACGCTGCCTGGTATACGTACCTGACCGCTCCTCACCTTGCCCAAAACCTCCGAACTTGTACTTTCGAAACATCCATTCATTTATTGATTATATATAAACCTTGAATTATCCTTGCCTGCATCATAATTGGAATTTATAAACCTCACTGCGGCTTATTTGTTATCTAATTACATTCGGGGAATGATCGGCTGCGAGAGAAGTTGTTAAAAAATTATCAGACGGAATTTCCGTAGCGTTAGACTAGGTTTAACCAAGGTGAATTTCGACAAACTTGAACTTGGCAAAAATTCAATTCTTTATTCCTAAAAATTTCTGCTCGAATCCATTCTCATCCGAAATGTTAAATAACGCGACTACCGTCTTATTTTTCAAAGACTTGCAATTTACGCGCCAGTCATTTTTTTAATCATATGCACGTCATTGTTATGCAAGTAGCAAATCTTCATAACCATTATTCTGACGAAATGTAATATTTTAATGTAAGCAGAATCACGGAACGCTTGTCATTACAATCATGCCTTCATACAATTTATTCCACTTAGTTTACTAGGCGAGAAGTAATCCTGCATGCACATAAAATCGGAGGTAACAGAGAAAGCAATTCTACACCAAATAAATGTAACTTTTGTAATTCTGCAAAAGGAATAATTAAGAAGACCATTTTCGCGATCCATCATAGACGGTTATATATCCATATACAATGGCAACTCATGTTAATGAAATCGGTATTCCAATAAACGTATCCTAATTTGTTAGGTAGTGCATGGTGAAAGTATCGCAACTTACCATTCACTTACAAAAAGAGCATAGAAGAAACATCTACAATGCCAGGAAATTGAATCAAAATAAAATTGTCTGCTCTGAAATTGAAAAATTTTGCAATTTTTCAAAAGTAATTCTCTTCTTGAAGGGAACCCACGTATTTTCTCCTCACAAATCTGGAATTTCGATACATTAGAGTATTTTAGAGAGTGAACACTAAACAGCAGGAGTCAGAACCCTATTTTTCAACCTCTTAATGAAATTATTATCCTTAGTAAGTTAAAAAGCTTTAGTTCGTTCAAAATACTCGAAATTATTATATCAAACTAATACTAATTACTGTGATAAATTCCAATCCCCATTGAAGCATATAACCATTAGCTCGGAGTGACGGCGGCAATAATACTAAAAATTGGGCCGAAAAGCGCCAGAGGTCAGGGGTGAGTGAGAGACGCATACCACACGAACTAATGTCTCATCCGCCAGCCCGTGACTTTAATATAATTCTACTCCTTAATACTTATTCCAATTAATACTTAATCCATTTATAGAAAATTAATAGTTTTGAAAGCTTCCTGAGCATACATAAACTGACATAATTGCAATTTGCAAGTTTATACCCTGGGCTAAATGAATCGTGTATAAAATTTACCCAGGTATAGAATTTGAAAGGAGAAAAAGGAACACAGCACTAACTAATCTATAACAAAAAAAGATCATTCACGATTTAAATTTAGTGAGCTTGCCCTGATATTTATTAAAGCGGTTAAATTAAGTGAAAGGTCTAGAAAATTCTGAACAAATTTCCAGCAAGTATAAAGACGTGATAATTTAATTAAGCAATAAGCCGCGAGCAGTTATTTACTTCGGATGTCGATTACATGTCCTCATCAGTCATCGCGTGGATTAAAGTAAACTTCCAAATTTTCCAGTCCAGGAACCCATTAACCAGAGCACTTCAAGGGGGAAATAAATGCCATGAATGGGCCATTAATTAAAGTAGCATGAATGGACCATTAATTTCACAGGACACTACTGACCTGTACACGTTGCACCGTCCAGAGCAATGGAGCCAGCAGGCGCCAGAAATGTATCCCGGTGAACAAATCCATCTTTATGTAGTATTAAATCTTGTAAACTTGTTACTATTGCACTTTGGGATTTATCTTGGCTATCTAATTCTAAATAACACTTCACTGCTGAGTAACAAATAGCCCAAGCTCTTTCTTCTGAGATTGGGGCTCCAAATTTCACCAAAATCGTTTCAAGATCAACACAGCCTCGGTGATCGAGAATACTGCGAGCCGCAGTGTCACCCATCCTATCTCGAGCACTTGTCGACCGGCACTGAGTGTTTCCTAACTTCTGAGCCGAAACGCAACGGCAATCCACACTGCGCGTGCGCTATCTGACTCATCACTTCCAACGTTTAAACGTACTGTGGGTATTAGAAGTCAATGAAACGTTTCTCACATATTCTACACCGATCGTCGAACTTATTTATACACAGACGCTGTGATCACATTGTTCGAAGCAGTTTAATCTTAGCAATGAGATGTGAGATTAGGCCAGAGAAAAGTTGATGCCGAACTTCCAAGTGAATATTCTTGATTTTCCATCTGGACTTCTGCGGTCATGTAGCACTGCGGTTAAGTTAACCGAGAATAGTGTTTACTTAATTCCCTCAAGTGTTGCACAGAATTTCCGTGCTGGTTAATCCGCGTTAAAAAGGAGTGAACATTGAACTTTGATGTAAACACAGATCAGTTTTCTTGTAACTTAACGGTAAAAGTTGAATAACAGTATCGATTTATTAAGACATTAGGCTCTTGTCTTTCGGCTGAGTTGCGACAGATCGCCAGGAATAGCACCTATCAGTATTGATAAGTTTATCAGATATTGAAGCTGTTGCCTACTGCAGCGAAGACGGTTCCGGCTTTCGAGGCTATACATTTTATCCATGTTGTAAACCATCGATCACTTCACACACGGAGAAAAGAGCTTGTCAGGATAACCAACTTGTAGCAATTACAACACGAGCCAAACACCGAAAGTTTAACTCTTATGCCAATCAATTATCCCTATTTACCTAAGGAATAATTAATTGATTAACTGAATTGAGTCAGTCTGCCCTTCAGTGTATCGATGATTAAATACAAGGTATATGGACAATTGCCAACGTAGTGAATCATTATAATGACACAACAATTTATTTATTTATTAAGTATCAAAAATATATTTTCCCTTTCGCGTCATGAGAGCGAGGTAGTTCTTGAAAATTAATGCTTCTCTCTGTATGTACCAGGAAAAATGATTAATATTTTACTTGTAATCTATTAATCCGGTTATTATTAAAGTTATTATACGTCTGGCATAATATGCATGATGTAAGAGTGAACCACGAGTTCATCTACCACGACTCCCGCTGCGTATCGTGGCTATTCTTCCAGATATTCAACCATGGCAGAGGTCGTAATATTGTCATAGACGGAAATCCGCACGATTCAAGTAGATTCAAACTGATTAGTTTCGCGAAAGACGGAGACTTTTCGCAATGTTATAGGCATTAGAATATATAAATTATTTTGGGCGGTTATAAAGATTGAGCCGCCCAAAATCGCTAAACTAACTCGCGTGTTTATGAGCAAATAATAAGAGTTTTTTCCTGGGGAAAATTGCCCTACAAGAATATTTGTTGAAGTAATGTACTTCGCGCCACGGAAAATGGCCGGAGAAGTGTTCCGTAACTTTGTAGGGCGTTGTGCGAACTGCGAACCTGCTTGCCTCGCTCTAAACTTCATGATATTGTCAAATGATTTGGCGATATACTGAGGTACTCGTGGTTTCGCAATATGTTGCGTAATAAACGCTCTTAAATACATATTAAAGTTTTGTGCACGTTTTTTACAGGGTGGCAGAATGCAGTCCTAGTACAATTTACGTGTATTATTGGGTCCATTGACGTCAATTGAACGATATGTATACTGTATACACCAGGCCAAAATGCTTTGTTTCAGTTTGGGGCTTATAAATTACTTTGTAGTTTATTTTTTGCATTTTGCTGTATTTCTATATATGTGCTTGTATATTATTTGAATGTTTTTATAATACAACAATTGCTTGCTTAATGCTATTATTCCATTTGATGAACCGTTCGCAGTCATTAATGTATGGCTTCTGGATCACTATTCGCTGTACAAAATCCTACTACAAATGTTTTTGGAAAACTACGCACTTCGCCGCAGTGACCGGATTGTGATCGGCAAAATTGTGTTCGAGGAAGCGCTTACACGGGCACGTTCTTCGAGGTCGTATAGGCAGCCGCTACGAGCTCAAGAGGTCGAAGAAGTTAACGTTCCGGCGTAGCTAAACTTTCTAGAAATAATTTTCGAGAGAGTAGCTGAAATGTTCAGATTTCCATTTGCTTCGTTTGTTCGACGACGGCAAATCTTTCGCCAGAATCATTACTAGGCGCTGCGTTTCATATATAATGCAGCAATGCGATGGCCGCTTTCTCTGCAGTTCCAAATTATCAGCACATGAAATTAAACACCCATTTAATTATATGAAGACCAATATATATCGTTACTAATTCAAATAATTGTTTTTGCGAAACTAAGCTTTAAGATTGAGTTTTAGTAAATACGGGTTAAATTATAATTAGTGAGTATAATGAGTAGAAAATTAGTACAAATAAGATTTATTTAATATGCCCTCCAAGAAAGTCGAAATTAATGTCCTCTATCCATTTCCAAGCTAAAGACAGTCACATTCAAGACAGTCACAAATCCCATGCTGGGGGTATTCATGTCAATTAAATTTAATGTCTAGATTTACCATGCATTAAATATCTCAACAGTTGATTTATGCTTCTTTAATTTGATTTCATCCAAAGTTGCATATACATTTCTGGAAGTAAAATATTCATCATGTCGTTACAGAAGTTTTGTTACACAGGAAAAAATATAATGCTAAATATTGCTCACCCTATATTGTGCCCAGCTATTAGGATACGGTCATAAAAAATCCTAATGATGGCTATTAAACCTATTATTATAGATAGTACATTGTTATTAGGCCTATACAGTGGTACATTTGGAATGTAATGTGAAGCTTAATTACAGTTTACATTTGAATCGAGATGTTGATTTTTATGTAATTGAGAGTTTTCAATTAGATTGATACAGTTAGTTGTAAGTGACTGAATTCATTCAACTAATTTACAACAATCGAAATATGAAGTTTAGGCTTAAAGCTCAGTATACAACCGAGAATATTTGTGCCCTAAGGATTTAAACTAAATTAAATTATGATAACGACTATAACACAGTATTTACATTTTATTAAACATTTAATAACCCAGAACATTCATCAAAGTTTGCATCAGGTTTCTCGTCCAAGTGTCTCACATAATTAAAGCGAACGACATTCGCTTATTTATCAGTGCCACCTTTGCCAGCACTTATCAATGATTATCAACAGGACAGGACATCAACGAATCAATATTAACAGAAAAAAATTAAATGAACAATGCTTTTTTTAACGCTGATCTTAGGATTCTACGACCCAAAGCAAATATCGGATATCTGTTAATTTTTGGTAATAAATTCGTCGTCCACGCTATGCAGAAGCAGTGACAAACTTTATAACTTTATAGAAGTGGCAAGGTCTTACATGCTAACAAATCTTATCATGAAATTAGCCTTTCTTTCTTTCTTTTGTGAAATGAAATTAGCCTTTCTCACAAAATTGCATTTATAAAATTCCAAAGTTTAATAGCACTATTTCTCTAACCCTATCGTATGGAGGACCTCACTGTAACACCGCACCCTCAGGGACGGTCGTAAACTCATCACGAACATCGCTGTAATGTATGACCCAATGGCGCGAGGTAAACCTGAATGTATCCAACGATGCTTCTTGAAGGTTTTAGATTCAATAAGTCAAAAAAGATTTTTTGATAATGATGAAAAATAACTAATGTTAAGTAATAAAATTACCTACTAACAAAGTATAATTGCCAGATAAATACGGTGATTTCACTATACGTAAGCAGATCAAGGAGCTTCTGCTGCAGCAATATCATCGTCCGCTCAAGACTGTTAGCTCTTTTCGATTATCTATAAGCGCACTGACCTGCGAAAATCAGGTGGACAAAAATTGGACTAAATATATATAGTGACCATAAACGTTTACCGATCAATTGTATCTTTATTTCTGCCCATTAACTTTAATAAGCTAAATCAGCACACCTACACTCAGTATCGCACGAGTAATGCTAGAAAATAGGTTTGTCCGCCAGCCAACTTACTAACTTGAGCGTGTCAACAGATGGTCACATCGAATATGTTGTCAATGGTCAGACTTCTATGAAGACGTAATTTTTGTCTGCAAATTTGACGTCAAATCGTATTACACTTATTTCGTATTTGTTAAGTTTGAAAATAAGTTTAATATTGGGCTTATAGCAAGAAGTAGAGATTATAGGAAGGTTACGTGCGTGGTTTCGAGATGTCCTCCACTCCTCTGGGCGCGAGATCGTCTCGTCGCAAGATCGAGCAACTGGGCAATATACACTTGTGCATGAACCAATGTTCAATTCGGGGCTTTCTGAAAAATTTATGCAGTTTGGGGTGTTTCTTCAGCATAAACAGTTTATACCAATTCCTCAGCATCCGGTACAGTTCCCTCAGCATCCTGTTTACTAATACTGCAAAGTGATTGAAACTTTTAGTGATTGTAATTATTCAAATACATTCATGTCATTGATAGATGGAGCGTTGTATAAATAAATACAGCTCGCTCAAGAAATCTCTACCACCTACACACTGAAATATTGGGGTCTTGCTCACCTCTAACCATTGAACACTCAAGACTGGAGACATAACAGTACATTTTAATTAGCCTCTGTACGTTCTCTCCCAAACACTGGTCAGGTTGTATTTAGTACTTGCAATTATTTTGGCAAGCATCATCGTGTTCATCACTGCGATCATCAATATCCTCTAGGTCATCACTGTCTATTCGGCAGCTTGAATCATTGCAAAGCTGGACGGTTTCTTCGGGGTCTTGAGTTTGAGCTGCACACTCCTGTGTGCCGGAGAACTGCACCTGCAGGGCGTCGGTGATGCCTTCAGGGGTTTTGGAGCAGCACGAGAGTTGTCGGTAAGACGGCGCCTTCGGCTGGCTGGCGTGGCAGAAGGCGTACCGCGTACAATGGAAGGCTAACCACAGCAAAAACGTCCCGAGCAGGACGAATGGCGCCTGCAGGGGTACAGCAGCATGATGTATTGCGATTATTTATTGGGAAGAAATGAAGCGATTGAGAATGGGATTAAGATTGATTCGATTTTTCAGGCGTGTGTTTCTTAATTACAATGAATTTTTATATTTAAAAACTCTACGATTTGACTCGTAAAAAAATTACGAGTTTAATTGACCGAATATCTCGTATATCCGTCAGTTCTGCATAGAAGTGAAATTTGCTGCATGAACTTGTAATGAGTTTTAAGAGAAATTAAGTACCTGTTACGCTCATGTGTGAATGGAATTTCAACTTCAAGCAGTCCACCTCATAACGAAAGTCGTTACTTAGTGATGGATGGGAGCCCATACCCATGCTCTTAGGGGAACTTGCGCCTGCTTGTCATGGAAGCCCATATACCTACCTCGTCATGGAAGCCCATACCTACCTCGTCATAGAAGCCCATGCCTACCTCGTCATGGAAGCCCATGCCTACCTCGTCATGGAAGCCAATGCCTACCTCGTCATGGAAGCCCATGCCTACCTCGTCATGGAAGCCCATACCTACCTCGTCATGGAAGCCCATACCTACCTCGTCATGGAAGCACATGTCTACCTCGTCATGGAAGCCAATGCCTACCTCGTCATGGAAGCCCATGCCTACCTCGTCATGGAAGCCCATGCCTACCTCGTCATGGAAGCCCATACCTACCTCGTCATGGAAGCACATGTCTACCTCGTCATGGAAGCCAATGCCTACCTCGTCATGGAAGCCCATACCTACCTCGTCATGGAAGCCCATACATACCTCGTCATGGAAGCCCATATCTACCTAGCTCGTCATGGAAGCCCATACCTACCTAGCTCGTCATGGAAGCCCATACCTACCTCGCCATGGAAGCTCATATACCTACCTCGTCATGGAAGCCCATACCTACCTAGCTCGTCATGGAAGCCCATACCTACCTAGCTCGTCATGGAAGCCCATACCTACCTCGTCATGGAAGCCAATGCCTACCTCGTCATGGAAGCCCATGCCTACCTCGTCATGGAAGCCAATGCCTACCTCGTCATGGAAGCCCATGCCTACCTCGTCATGGAAGCACATACCTACCTCGTCATGGAAGCCCATACCTACCTCGTCATGGAAGCCCATGCCTACCTCGTCATGGAAGCCCATACCTACCTCGTCATGGAAGCCCATACATACCTTGTCATGGAAGCCCATACCTACCTAGCTCGTCATGGAAGCCCATACCTACCTCGTCATGGAAGCCCATGCCTACCTCGTCATGGAAGCCAATGCCTACCTCGTCATGGAAGCCCATACCTACCTCGTCATGGAAGCCCATACATACCTTGTCATGGAAGCCCATACCTACCTCGTCATGGAAGCCCATACCTACCTAGCTCGTCATGGAAGCCCATACCTACCTCGCCATGGAAGCCCATATACCTACCTCGTCATGGAAGCCCATACCTACCTAGCTCGTCATGGAAGCCCATACCTACCTCGTCATGGAAGCCAATGCCTACCTCGTCATGGAAGCCCATGACCGCCATAGTCACCTTGTCATTGAAAGGTGGGTACACAGGGGACTGGGCCCATACTCACATTGTCATGGAAAGGTGGGCACACAGGGGACTGGGCCCATACTCACATTGTCATGGAAGAGTGGGTACACAGGGGACTGGGCCCATACTCACATTGTCATGGAAAGGTGGGTACACAGGGGACTGGGCCCATACTCACATTGTCATGGAAAGGTGGGTACACAGGGGACTGGGCCCATACTCACATTGTCATGGAAAGGTGGGTACACAGGGGACTGGGCCCATACTCACATTGTCATGGAAAGGTGGGTACATAAGGGACTGGTCCCATACTCACCTTGTCATTGAAAGGTGGGTACACAGGGGACTGGTCCCATACTCACATTGTCATAGAAAGGTGGGTACACAGGGGACTGGGCCCATACTCACATTGTCATGGAAGGGTGGGTACACAGGGGACTGGTTCCATACTCACATTGTCATGGAAGGGTGGGTACACAGGGGACTGGGCCCATATGATCACGCAAACGACGGACTCTGCTGAAGCGAGCGTCGCGTAGAGAAGGAACCTTCTGAACTGCGCCTCGCCGAAGGGGTTAGTTAATCCAAGCAGCCAAACCGCCCCAAGCATCAACGAACTAGTCAGGCTACGCAGGTTTGTTCAGAGCAAAAAAAAAGAATATTTAAATACATTCTTTCTAATTCGAACAGGAAATTAGCATATTCAATCGTTACATTACTTTGCGCGATCTCACTGACACTCGCCATAAATACACGCCAAGTTTCCGCTCAAAATCGTACCCATTCATATTTCTAGCTTCAGTGTCCTCTTGTGTAAGATGTATGCTAACGTCATGTCTTAACTTAATCGAAGCGGAACCTCGGGAACGCCGGTTTGTTCTGAAGATCGATATTTGTATTTTTTAGTCACGTCCAGATCCAGCATGGAATATTTAGTTGGCTCAGTTTCAAAGAGCCTTTGTAAGCATGGGTCTCACAAATATCAATATACTGACCTGGATTCGAAAACGCCGGGATCTATTCTTAATTGGCAAATAAGGGCATTCATTAAAAATTTACCTCTAAGTACATAATTTTCTCCTGAACGGTGAATGTGGGATTCTTACGTCAGCAACGTTTAATTCTGTACATTTAAAATGCTAATAACTGTATTAAGTATTATGGGTTTGATTTGCCCTGTCAAATGATTTGAAATTTGTGTGAATTTAGAAAGGTTATGCACCTACATTGGCTATTTTCTCATTAAAGTTTTGGTTTCATTGGAAAAAGTAATATTCAATTTGTTGCCTGTACCTTGTTGTTTTGGGAGGTTTGACCGACGCAGAGTGCCACAAGGCGTGGGCCAGCCACCTGACAGCCACTATTGCCAATAGCCACGCGCCACAGCCAGTCACTGCCATTGAATAACCCAGCACTCGAGAAGCTGTGGCGCATTCGAAAACATTTGTTAGAAATATCCCAGAAATATTATATAGAGGCAGCCATCTTAAATTAGTACAGTATACAATAAAAAAATATAGTTTTCTATTATTGCTTCAAAGTTTTGAGGGGAGTCTACAACAAACTTCCACCGCTAAAATACATGTAGCCTCTCCTACTCCCAGTCCCAGCAATTTTAATAATTAAACACTCGGCATTTAATTTACCCAGTACTCTGTATAAGATCATTTTAATAGCAGCTTTATGGGAAGGAATGCCATTGTTAAAAAAAAGCAATAATACTGCACATCCTGTTTCTCAAATCATTTTGATAATAAATTTTTGAAAATATTAACTGGAACATACTCCTTGTCACTCAGAAATATTTGTTTCGCAATCACATGTCCTCACAATTGATCGAAAATTGAGTAAAAAATTATCCCTGATGTCACATGTATGATGTATGGCAAGTTACAATTTCAGTTATGATAATGAGGATGCTGTGGATTCAAACACATTGATGGCTTTGAAGACTACTCAATGCAGACTGCGTCGGAAACTACCCGTAAAAGTGAGTTGGGAAGCGAAGAGCAGCAGCGTTGCAAAGAAGTTCAGTCTGCCTTGCCGAGCGACGGCAGAGGCTACGTGCTTGTATCGTTCTGCGTGACGGTGGTGGTACTGACGCTTCAAAATCACACTGCGAACACAGTTCACACATTTGTTAAGATTTTTTTAATATTGCTAGCATAACGATTGTTTAGTCTGCTGATATTGTGCGTATGCGATAAAAATGTATACCGATTTGGAATTGTGTGCTGGTATTGTCCAGCCCATAATACAAATGGTATCCATGTTAATGATATTCACGCAATTTTGAGCAAGACGATACAGTAAAAAATAGGTGCAATTTGCATATGTTAGAGTAAATTTATCTTTTTTTATGATATCAATAGCTGAGCGTAACAATCGATGTGTTAAACTCACGAGCAGAAAGCCACGGTTTGAGCGACTTTGGAGAGCAGGAAAAGGAACCGGAATATTTTCCAGCGCATCATGGGAGGAGGTGGAGGCAATGATGGATCACCTGGGTTAAAAAAATAAAGGCTTAGAATGGCTCTTTTGTTGAAAATGCAACGAGTCATAAATGAAGAAAATAAAATTAGGATATTGCCGCACGACCGACCGCAAATACCACAAGAGTTTCGCCAGACAAGTGCCAGTAGCAGTAACAAGTATCAGTAGCAAGTATCAGTAGCAGTAGTAATCGAATCAATCACCTCCCACCATGCTGACCCAGTCCAATGGCTGGGCCCAGAGGTCGTCCCACATCAGCAGGACCAGGAAGGGCAAGTCGCAGACGAGGGAGTCACACAGGCGCAGCAAACCTGCTTTTGCACTCTCGTCCAGGAACCTGGAACCATGTTTTGACTCTTTGTCAATTAAAAAAAGATCTTAAATCTTGGAAAATTCAATTTAGAAGATCAATCTTATCTTAAGAAAAACAAACGAACGAGTGCTCCAAGACACCTTTTATTATGGATAATTGATTATGTCAGTCAGGCATGCGAATACTGAAGAAAAATGCTGCAATAATAAAATAGTTTCAAGGAAAATGCTAGCCGTTAAAGCTTTCTTGATAACCATATATTTACTAACAGCTGAGATCGATAGCTTACCGTATTCCTTGCGCTGGATCTTTTTTCTCCCGCAGCCCAAACCTTGTTGCTCTTGCATATCTGAACATGGAGATACGACATCAGTCTCGATAACTTTAATTTGTTTTAAATTATATATATGGTATTACATTAAATTACACTCTAGATTTCAGATTATTGTTTAGATTGTTATCTTTAATGAAAATGTATTAGCAAATACATCAATAATGCTGCACTAATTACTGACTACGTAGTTAGTGAACCAAAACTTTGCAACCTGACGTGGTCCCAAGCAAGGCTTAACTTACCTGATCAGAGGTGAGACGGGCCAGAGACAGCAATGCAGCAACAACTGGGGGGTCGATGAGCCGCGGCGAACATCTTGGAGATGACTGGAGATGACAATGCAGAAGAAACGTCAGATATGGAGGAACTTAAACTCGCTAACTCAATAAAGCATGTGTAACTCATGAATTTATTTAAATTTATTTTTTCTTTCACACAACCATTTCACAACTCGAAAAAAGAGTGAAAGCTACTAATGTAGGTGATAAATCCTCGCCAGTATTACTCAATGGCTTACAAGTTCACGTTGACGATGCCAGCTGTCAAGTGCCCCAGCACGAGCAGTACGGCGTATAGATGGCGGTGGTCGGTGGGCGTCTCGACGATCTCCTTCTGCACGACAATCACGACGGACACGGCGTAGCCAAACGTGTACGAGAACAACATCAGGGGAATGAACAGCATCTCCATCCACGTGAACTGGAACACTCCATCGCCTCCTAAGCGTCAACAAACAAGTGGGATCAGTGAGTCTCATGTTAGATTCTTCGTCGTTTAGCGTTACATTGAACTCTCATATTGCCCTTATTTTAGGGTATTCAACCATCGTGAAGAAAGTTTGATTGTTTGATGCGATCAAAATACAGGTTATTAATAAAATCGTTAAATTAATACGCTTGTTCGTTAAAGGCAAATAATTTTGTCAGCAACCGTTCCATAAAGAAAATCTGTGATACGTAGCCACCGAGAAGGAAATTCTATAGAAATGAGAGTCTATAAAAAATCGTAAAATACACGATGATTTGAGACGGCAATCTAGATATTGAATCGCAATATCCTTCTTTGCATTGTCTAAGATATTTATGGCACGGAAATTGACGAACTGATCGTTCTCGTGGTATGTTAATGATCGAACCACATCCCGGGCTTGCGTTGTGCGGTGTGGGTTTAGTTGAGTAGAAGTTGTTCTATAACGCACATTTTGTCGAAGACGAGAGAGACACTTTCACGAACTACTTGCCGGTTAGCCTATTATTGCCCGTGAAGAATAATTACTACAATTTGAAGCCACCACTATCCCAAATCCCGCCAGCCAAAATCTAGCCAATAACTCGAGTACGTTAATGTAGAACATGTTAAAACCCATATTTAGCATGTTACTTTCATTTAAATCCCATTTCCCCGTATTTGAATTTTTTGGAAGCTAAATTTTTAGTTTTTACGTGAATACATTATTTACATAAGTAAATACAATACACTGTTTGAATAAAACTTCACGCCCGAGGTTCAATGTTCAATGATCGCACCGTTAAATATAAATCTATATTTTTCCCGGTTAATATCCCGATATTTCTTATGTATTGGACACGCCTCTGAACAGCCTAGACCTATTTCAAGCGCCAGGCTTCAAAGAAACACGCGCACGAACGTTGACAAATATTTAATATAGATAGATTTAGATAGATTTTCTTCATTTTCTTCTCTCACTTGTACGAACCTAACTTTTAATTTGGGTTGAATGTAGAAAGATACGGTTTATACGGGAACTTTTATTTCACCAAGACGACGTTTCAAATCAACATATAGTTCACTATCAAGTTAGATGCTGGTTTTACGACACTTACAATTTTGGTTTAAGGAGGGGTCTACCCTAAAATCGATAAAATTATGTTTTCTGCATTTTTCATATCATTTTGTAGGGAGAACATTACGCACATGGTTGAACTAGTTTCGTATAGTATAGTTCAACCATGATTACGCAGCGGATGAAGCAAACGGAATTGAAGTTTTTTTTTGCCAGGCCTTTTTTAACTTTTATAAAATAAACATTTTCTGGTTTTACGGGTATTATTTTTATAATATGGTTTTGATTTTTGTTGCCTCATAGCTAATCAATGGTTTGATTTTGTTAGTTTGTGGTTGTGTTGCTATTTCAACTTATTGTGCTTTCAGTTATTGCAAACTGAAAGCTTTAATTCATAATATTTTCAAACCCATTAAGAAAATTATTGGTGAATTTTCTCATGTGTAAAATTGGTCGTAAATGTTCTCTCAGGTCTTGAAAAACACACACGTTATAGATTGTATATGTTATTACTTCCTGACTGTCTACCCAGTAAAACTTTTCCTGAATCTACCAAATAAAACCGTTTTGAATGAACTTTCTTTCCCTAAGATATTTTTCTCTGTAAGTTTAGGCTTTACAATTGAAGGAAGGAGACTGGACTTCTCGAACCTCTTATTTTGCCTATTGCATGCTAATCAGGTCGGCATGAGAGGATGTACTGTGGGTACTCACTCAACAGGTTCAGTATGCAGCCGAAAGAGACTGTTCTAGGCGACATCTTGAGGACTTCCTCTGGAATTACTGCGGTTCATGAGAAAATGTTGCTCTTCAGTGCAATGTCATCACCGGCAAACTTCTACGGAAGTCATTGTATTGGCAAAACATTCGGTTTTCTTCCTGTTTCTAGCCACTTTTATCGTGCATTTTGCTAAACATAATTTTTTGAAATGGATATTAAATTTATACATCGGTTTATTGTACAAGATTGTTTATTGTAAATGTTCGTTGTGGATCGACACAAGTTTTAGGTTCTAGGTCCAAAACACGGTAAAGTTAGAGCTCGAGTGCATGAGCAAGATCTTCGGCTACTGAATTTCGTTTCACCGAAGTTATACACCTCCATGCAGCGCCTCTGCCGCCTCATCTCCTGCCAGTGAGTGCTACTGATTTCACATCAAAATTTCGATCCTCAGCCAGCCAAATAAAAATTGTAAAAAATCCAGCGAAAGTGTAATTTGATAATCAATCGACTTTGATGTCAAACTTATTTATATATGCACGAAGTTTGAGTTAAAATTTTGCCTCTTCTTGTCTAACTTTGAAATATTGAAACATTGACATAATTATAGCAAAACATAACGTTTTTTCATAACATAACCGCCTGAAAATAGACAAAGTTTTTCACAACTTATCGTTCAAGATTTTTTTTGCCATCATGGCTCTAATCAACTTTCCAAAATACATGAAATTATCAAGGGAATACCAAAATTTTTAAGTGCTTGAATTGATCAGCCACTAGAAAGATAATTATTATTTAATATTTTTACTTCGAGTTTTCCGAGCTTGAAAAATTCGATCAAAAAGGTAACAAAAAGTCAGATACAATGTTCCTAATCTATCATTATATTAATTGCAGCTTCAACTGCTGGTAGAAAACCGACCGACCAGAAGATCTACATGTCTCATGAACAATGTGCTTACAAAACATAAAGAACGTCTCTCAGGGTTGGTTAGTATTATCCTCGAACTTAAGAAAGTTTCACATCTTCATCTGTTATCTGCAGTGGCCCCGATGGAGGTCGGTCAGTATTCTGCATGAGATATGGAGGCGATAGCGAGCGATATCATATGGATGCATTATATATTACTGCCTCACGATACGATGCGGCATCGTTAGAATACACATCAAAATGTTACTGAAATTATTAAGAGAAGACTGAAACTCGTTGCCAATTTTACTGATCTTGATTTGTCGATGAGAATTTTCAACGTTTAAATCTCAATATCACATTAATTACATCTTAAATTGAGCATGAAAATAATTTTATCTTTCGTTGAATTATTCTACGCGGGCAATAAGAAAGTAACGCTAAGTAATAATCATAGCGATCATAACTATATCCACACATTGTAGAAAAGGCTGAAAAGATGAGAGAAATGTCCAAAATGAAATAATGATATAAAAGTAAATCGAACATTTTTCGTCTGGTTGAGCAACCGAATGATGTTCTTAGATAAGATAAACTTATGTGAAAATATAGAGCATGTAAAAAATATCTTTCTTGGCTTCAAAGGATCCTGAATATATTGAAAAGGTAAATATAATTAAAAGAGCTCAAGCAACAGTGGCATCACTTCTTCGAGAATCTACACACCGTATTTTTGAAAGATGCCTAAGGAAATTTGTCAGCTGGCGATTTAAAACGTATGATCTTGGATAGTTTTCAGTATAAATTTGAGACACTTACGCAGAAAATGCTTCTTATCAACAGAATGAAGCCAGAATGAAACGTGTACAGCAATGAAATTAATGATGTAAAAATTTTCTCACTGAAAAACTACTTGTTTTCGTAACGCAACGTGGCTCGCCTGATTTCCTAGTCTAAGTCCTCGATCCGGATGTTTTTCTCACAGAAAATTTATGATAAATTACTTTAAAATTAAATATTTGATACCTTGCAGTGATTCAGGCGAAACAGCATTTCGGAAATTAAAAAAAAATTCACCGGAGACTGCGTTACCCGTTACGTACGCCCTTATATGTTATATGTAAGGGCGTCTATGGCCTTTAAAGCAGGTCCTTCACACAATAATATAACTGAAACTTGAACTCATTTATTTTACTTTATTCATCTCGGAGGCTCATAGGGCAACTCCACTGCCCAGCCTGTTCTTTATTATTGCGTTGGATTAAAAGTAAGACGTAAGCCGTAAACGGATGTATAAATACTCATCATTGCGGAGAGAATTGGATCGCAACGTGCATTTAATACAGTAAAAAAAAACTTGCAGTTCTAATGCAGAAGAAAATTAAATCACGCATTTTATTGCTCAACATTAAAATCGGAATTGAATATGCAATTTCTTCTTCTTTTAAAATTTTACCACATTTTTACCATACGTAGTCAACTTGCTCAACTGTTGCCCAATGAACCTTACTTCTGGCTCACACTTCTGGCTTACTTCTGGCGCTAAAATAGCATTTACTAAAAAAATCCAATCCTAGTGTTATAACTTCAAGTATTACTGGTTACGATTAACTGTCAAGATATCAACGTAAATCAAATAGCGATAAAATTATCACATATTTTAGCCTATCATACTCGTATTTATCGCTTTCTTATCGTATCTCGGAATACGCGTTAGATACCGCGAACACTTGCGCAACGTTAGAAATCAACCTCACAGCCTATTATTAATTATTATCAAATATTATACATAAGCGTTTCACTCTTTTACCACTATAGTGCATCACTGTTAACGAAAACACATCATATCGATAGCCCAGGGCACATTATATCGATAGCATCACAACAAAAATATTCGCACTTCACTCATATTTTCCAGTTCAAATAAAATATTCTCACGTCAGTTTCTTTTGAAAAAAATAGTTGGCTCTAAACATTCAAACTGCAGAATGAAGGCAATGGCAACTGCCATTGCATGCAGAAGGCAACTGCCACAGCCCAACAATGCCAATACTCGACGGCTATCGCCACGTGACCAACCACTCCGCCCGCCACGCATCGACTACCGGTCAGCAGCTGAGAGACCCAACATGCTGCGACTGCATGGACGTTTTTCATGACTATCGACCATCCACGAGGTATGCATACTATAATCTACGCATGCTTTTGCATTCTCTAAAAAAATTAAATATACATACTCTAAAATTTTCAGCTGCCTAAAATAAATGAGTAAGTTAAATTTTCTCGCAGTAGTAAGTATCCGCTCATATGCAAGAGGCCAGCCTGTTTGGTGCAAGATGCCAGCCTATTTGGTGCAAGATGCCAGCCTATTTGGTGCAAGATGCCAGCCTATTTGGTGCAAGATGCCAGCCTATTTGGTGCAAGATGCCAGCCTATTTGTTGCACGAGGCCAGCCTATTTGGTGCAAGATGCCAGCCTATTTGTTGCAAGAGGCCAGCCCTGTCTCTTATACACATCTAGATGTGTATNGCAAGAGGCCAGCCTATTTGGTGCAAGACGCCAGCCTATTTGGTGCAAGACGCCAGCCTATTTGGTGCAAGACGCCAGCCTATTTGGTGCACCTCCCTAGCACCGGTAATAAATGAAAGCTATCAAGAGGATAAAACTTAAGATTTAACTAGTGCAGGAACTGCCTAGTGTTGTTTCCTTCAACTGCTTAATATTTGGTCGTTTCTACCCATGTTTAACAATTGTTGATTTATTTAGTCCAGACGTCTGATGCCTTTTTTAGAAACAGAGAAAAAATCTTAATAAAACCAGATTTTTCAATTGTTAAGTGGAAGAATTGAATTGCTTAACAAAAGGAAAGATCGGAGAAATTAAGATAAAACCCAATCATATGAACATTACATGGATCTTGAAGGTCTGAGAACATTTATATACATAAACATGGCCGAAGCAACTGATAACCAACCACTGATAAGATTTACATAGTGCGTGGCATATGCGTGCTTATAACTACAGCCAGAATTTAATTTCTTGGTAATGTATTTATTTTTCGAACATCTTTCCTTCAATTCCATATGTATAAATTCACAGTCTGTGATGCGGTTTTTTACGCATTACACCATATTTTAATGTAGTAAAATTTAAAAAAATATTTCAATTGTTTGCGTTCCTGTTGATAATTAATTTATGAATATTCGACTGGTCAGTTGTCATCGTACATCAGAATCAGCTTTGATCTTCAAGAACAGTAGAGCCGTAGCCCAACTTTGGAAAAATCTGCTGAGGCTTCCCAGTCACCCACAAACGCGTGGAACGTTCGTTTTCTGCGATAAGGATATTAATAGAGTTTCATTTGTCTGACGACAGTGCATAGGCATCCGCTGGGAAGTTCGTTTCTGTGCGTTAATTGGAGCAAATTTTTTAGCATTATTTAAACTTTGTCAGCCTTCCCGAATGCTACAATACAGCAATAAAGCCAATTTCTCAACATCGCCTAACATTTCGACAAATTTATTATTTAATTTGGCTAATAATCACTTTTATTATGATATTACCGCCCTAAAAAAATTTCTGCTTCTGAGTGTAAACAAAAAATGCCTGGAATAATGTAATTGAAACATACAGTATGAGTAAACATACGTATTTAGGAGACTCTCAACTTCTAAAAAATTATGTTATCAGTATTATCTTGCTTACCACTTTAATCTTATCAGCAATGTAGTGAACCCTAGGTGTGAGTTCAGAATCAGTTAAAATTCGAACCTATATCGGCTGAGCGCTCTTGTGGGTCGCGTACGAAGGGGCTGAAAAGTCTGCAGTGTTTGAAGACGATGTCGTAGTGACATTTAGGCCCTCGATCGTTTATGCGCAGAAATTTTCCGGTGTTCAATAGATTACATCATTTTTTATTCATAGGTCTTGGTTACAAATTGTTGTTTCTGTGCACCACTGTCATGGTTGGAACTAAACATACACGGCCCTTCAAGTAGTCTGGTGACACACAGATCAGAGGAGACATATCGTGGTTTTCCTTATAAGTGATGTCAATATTTCAGTATATTCTAGTTGACTTTCAATGCTACTAGGCTTGTGTTAAACAACGGATTTTCTGTTATTTTCTAGTGTATGTTTTTCAAATAATTTTGCGTTACCCTCGCAATATTGTCGTTCCTATTTATTAGGTTAATTGGGCTAAAATATTCCATGAATATAGGAATAAAGTTGTGTAAAGTTTTCTTTACCTTTCATTTGTTTCGAGACAATGTATCATTAAAAATATTGATATTGAAACCCCATGATAGTAAATCATTAAGTCCAGTTTTCCGCTGATATACACATTTATGGTCTTGTATAGTGTAACCTACAATGACTGTAACAATTACGTATATTTTTTTTAAGCTTACCAGATTCTTTGGCAGCGATGGAGCTTTCGAAGACATGCTACCAAGTCCTCATGTTTGCTTCCGTTGCAGCTTGGCTGTTGTGGCAGGTGAGCAATCCATGTTCATTTCATTTCCAAACCCTTCAGGTATGACATGTTATAAAAATTACAAACAAATTTATAAGTAAGCAATTTTAAGAGTAATTTTTTGCGTCATCAGGCAATTAAATCACGGTAGAAAAAGCCACATCCTTCTAAAAAACGCATTGACTGGGTCGCCATATTTTTCAAAAAATCATGTCACTCCGTAAACTAAATGTAGAATTTTCACCAATGGCATCAGTGAATTTTTATGAGGTGCTGTGGTTTTTACTAAACACAGATGAGTGCTGGACTGTAAAAAGCTTTCCGTCTTCAATAATTTTGGCTCCGTGGCTGCCACTGCTTCTTACTATAGCCCGCTTAAGTCACGAGAAAATTGATTGTTTGCCTCTGACGGTAATGACGCTATCATTTCCAGCATTTTCGAATTACATTGTTGTAATATTCATGTAAGTGATTGCATATCAATGCCATTATTCTGATATTTGCTGTAGTTCATACAGGATTTTGCTACATTATTTGTCACATGTGAAGCTTACAATGCCCATCATTAATCTTGAAGCCAGTCACGAGCAGCAACGATGGAAGCTGCTTTCCTCCTGCGTTTGCCCAAGAGGGTAAGGAAATTCCAGAAGATCAGAAGCATACGATCCACCTGTGGGTGATCTTGCCTCCTGACACCGCATCGCTCGTTCTACCTGTCGTATGTCTTGCTAAGAAGGAGCTTCTTGTACTGGGATCAAAAGGGCCACTCCCCAACGGCTGGAAGATCAATGTAGTTTTCAGAAGTTCTAATGGATCAGTAGCTGTAGCGATGAGAGCAGCTCTGAAGTTGTTATACGAGAACCCTAATGGTGAGATTAGCGGAATAAATAAATTATCAATTAGTAAATGTGTCCAATGAATCGACGTCGAAATATGAACTTAATAAACCAAAGTTACCTCATGAAGGTTACCAAAAAAGTAGTAGTAGTAGGATCAAAGTTACCATCATGAACTTCCGAATGATTACTCATTCGGATTTTCTAACTAAAAAGGCAATTCTATTACAAACCATTCCACTTATTTGCTCGTTTCACAATGCATGTTTTTCAAAACGTCATGAAGCTGTTTAAGCGATACTACGTAACATTTGACCATTAGAAATCTTACATGCCTGCAACTATTTCCCTAAGCAGTTGGTGAAAGGTCGTTCTCAGATGGTCCTACGGATTTGCGTTGTGCAACCAAATCGAACGAATGCGACGTCGGTGAGTTTCGTCAGCGGTATTAGGATATTCTATTAACGGATTCAGTTACTAATGAAGTGAACTTCAATCAGCAGTATAAAATTACCGCGTTGGAATTTGTTCGATCAATTATCAACTCTTTAAGCAGAATACCAACAGCCCGTAATATTTTCTGTCTGCTCTATGCAGTTTCAAATATCGATTTCGATTGTTTGCTTGATGCCTGTGTAGTGATTCCATAAATTTAGTTGTAGGGCCATGCTTGGGCAATATCATAGATTGGTACATATAGAACGTGTTAGCTAATATACCAGATCATGTGTCAACTATTTTTAGTTGAAGGGCTGATTTGGAGTTTGCGATATAACTGCTCAAAAGTAGTGGGATTATCAATAAATAATTACATTCGCATTTTCGCGATTAGAAACGTATTCTTTGTCCACAAGGGGTGTTTTTGGGCTCTACCAACAACTATGAGCTGGATTATATAGCTTCATTCGCTACGCGTTTCAACATCCCAACTTTCAGTACGGCAGGAAGGAGCAAAACTTTCTCCGACCCCAAGTACAAGTCACTGTATCGCTTACAAGGAGACTACTATCAGGTATCCTAAATGTGATTTATCGGATATCAATGATTCATAAAAGTATCGTGACTCGTTTATTTTGTTAGGCTTACCTTTCTAAAATCATTGTTTTTAATCATTGTTTTAAAATCATTACAGCTGGCTCAAAGCGTTTTGTCGATTATGAATAAATGGAACTGGAAAATCGTGTATCTTCTCTACGAAGATGATAAGAAGGAAGTGTGCTCAAAAGCAATGCAAGCCATCAAAGACAGAATAGATAAGAAGAAGGTAGCCTTCTGTGGAGTGGATTCATCAACTTCCGAGTACTCCTTGAAAGGGAACTGCGCAAATAAAATCGACCCCCAAAACGCGACCTCCTATGGAGCGGACTCAAAAACTCTCGAGAACTCGGGCAAAGGGGGCTTCTTGAAAGAAAGCGATCTCAAAAAAGTTTTCGATAATATCGCTGAAAATGCAAGGAGTGAGTTGATCATATATATATATATATATTTCGAATACTTACAGATTCATCATGCAGCGCCATTAATAATATTCCCAGCTTCAAATGCATTACTCATTTACTTGAAAAAAGAATGCATCACTCTCTCTCTCTCTCTCTCTGTTATTTAGAGCGCCTTATTTTGTCCTGAATTCTGCAGTTGTCTTCGTTTGCATCTTGAACAGCTCTCTTCTGGAACAAGTGGCGCGAGAAGCCAATAATAGAGGTAGCGACTACGCTTTCATTTATCTGGACTTGGGCTTCGGGTAACTTATCTTATTCTATGAGGAGCGGGTATATATTACACTAGTGAGACAATTATTTTCAACAAAATAACTTTTGAGTTTAATTTCATATTCTCACCTCTCAGATTCATTTCTAGATTTTTTAACAGACCTGCATTGCTCCTAAAAGATGTTTTGTTTGAAAAGGATAATTGAACATACATTTATAATAGAAGATTGTTGCTACGAGGAACGTTGCTAAAAAATACGAAGAACAAGCATTAATTACATCATTAAATGCAGAACGCCTGACGACTACCGCCCATGGACCGAGAAGGCAGTTGACACAAGCCGCCCCTCTCCCAAGCTGGTGCTGACATCTCAAGTTCCTGTAGAATATTCAACGGAGTATCAGAGGGTGAGTTAATCATTTAATCTATTATTCAACATTCCTTAATAGAGCTTTTCAGGAGTAGGCAGGGGGCAAATTAAATAAAAATAGATTTTTCAAGTTTTACTTTTGATTTTTTCATTGCGATCAATCAAAACTGATAGATCTATACAGTAGAGACTTTAGTTGAGTTGAATTATAGAATAAATAATAAGAATAATTATTATTTTATGCGACGTACACCAAAATTTGTGCTCAGTATTAAGAAGTAAAAAGAAAGTTCTTCTTTAACAAATGCACAATATTACTGGCTTCTTACCATAGTCCCCGGCCCTTGAATTAATGGCTACTCCATTACTGAAGCAGGTTTTGTTATGTTGAAATCTACAGGCCAGGGATGCTTACGGTGGTCAAGAGGAGTGGGTACAAACCTGCTCAAATGATTTAGATAAGCTCCCTAGCAACAGCCAAGCTGCTGCCCCAGCGTCTTCTTCCGTGGACAGTTTCTACGACAGCGTATGGCTGTACGTTGAGGCGCTCAACAGAACCTTATCGCGTCAACTCCAGAATTGCTCGAATTTCAAAGAGGAAATCCTCGTCGAACTCAACAGAACCTTATCGCGTAATCATTCGTGCGCGAATCTTAAAGAGAAAATCCTTGTCGAACTCAACTCCAGCTATACCAGTACGTGTTTGCATTTTCGTTACTTGCGGAGCTGAAAAACATGTTGCGCGGTAGCAGTACCATTTTTTCAGCATACTGAATAAAAAGATGTTGCATGCTTAATAAACATTAGTTAAACGCATATCTCACTCAGGGTGTTATAGTAAACTTTAAGCAAACTGATTTTTTTCTTCAAGCCAATGCACTTGTCTCTGAAGCCTTTGTTTTCCACTTTGCTCTAATTGAAAGGTATGATAAGAACCGCTGCATAACAGTAGCCGTTACATACCTTGCTTCGGTTCTTGTAGTTATTGTAGTTAATATAAAAGTTGGCAAGATTTGAAACTCCGTATTCTGACAGGTCGGCTGACGAATCGAAATTTCCGTGTGGAGAACAGAACAATACCGACTTCTTATTTCTTGATGATGTTGAATCAGGACGCCTCTTCTTATGAAGTAAGAAATTAATAAGCTCCTGGAATCACTCCTGCAATGCTTAAAAAAACTTTTGCACAAATTAATATAGTGATTCACCTGCGGGATTGACTTGCCATCAGACTTGACTGAATATAATGAAGGATTAGGATTAATCCTTGACGAATTTCGAGCCTATCCCTTACTGCAGACGGTGGTAAACATCTCTTACCGGAATGACGACAACGCTTCCTGGGATTTTGAGTACAACAGTGAAAAATACAAACCACCCAAAGACAAGCCCATTTGTGGATTCAAAGGCGACGAATGCTGTGAGTTATTATGGTTTCAAAGGCGACGAATGCTGTGAGTTATTATGGATTCAAAGACGACGAATGCTGTGAGTATTTTTGGTTTCAAAGGCGACGAATGCTGTGAGTTATTATGGATTCAAAGACGACGAATGCTGTGAATGTTTTTGGATTCTAAGGCGACGAATGCTGGGAGTTATTATGGATTCAAAGGCGACGAATGCTGTGAGTGTTTTTGGATTCTTAGGCGACGAAGTGTTTTATAACAGAGCAATGCATAGCCTCGATCATCAAAAGTTTGTATTAAATTTAATCCTTTTTTTCAACTGACACGGAGCCAGATTATAAATCTTTTAATAGACTGTGTTGTAATTTGCGACAGAATTTCGTTTTGTGGAAAATACTTTTTCAGCAGAGATGATTTTTAATGAGAATTTGACTTCCAATATTGTTACGTTGTGTGAGAGCTTCTTGTGTTCACGGAATTAACATAGCAAATTCATTGCTCCTAAGGATTTTAGTTTGATTTTACGTTGAACCTCCTATAGGTTTACGTTGAACCATGGAATCAAATGCAAGTTTGATGATACCTGCATTGTTCAATGTGCAGTACTGTACTACTTGATTGGGGCTGTCATCTTTCTGTTCTGCTGCGCCAGCTGCATCTATGCGTAAGCAACGTTGTCATTCTAAAATTTGCTTTGTTCCTCTAAACGATTACGATTTGTTTGAACATTTATGAGATTAATTCAACTCATGAATTTTAGCTAACGTAAGGAAATTATGTAAATTAAATTTGTGAAATTTTGGCGAACAAAATTCATCTTTGACCGTCGGGACTGAATACCTAAGATTTGATGCATTCATCTGCAGTTGTTTGGTTTCATTGGCTATTGACTTGAATGATTTCAACTTATTTTTTACATAACAAACCATAAACATTAAAGACTTGGTTATAAAGCATGTTGAATCACTTTGTGTTTGCGTATAACGGGCTTATTGCTTATAAGGTTGTCATATAAATCCATAAAGACGGAAACAGAATTTCGAGGAGTGCTGAAGTGAAACATTTTAGACCATGGCATTTTCCAGACTAGTTTGGCGCAGGAAGCGTCGGGCGAGGCGCGTCTGGCAGATCTCCCTCAAAGACCTGCAGTTGTCGAACTCTGGAGATGGGCGAAAGGGATCCAGCGCTGGGGTGATCCTTCAGAAATTTTGCTTTATTATTATTTATTCGGGCGGGATTTTACTTTATTATTATTATTATATTATATTATATTATAATATATTATATTATATATACTCGTACCTTTATTTTTGTGGGGTGCATTCTGTACGTGAGATCTGCAGCAAACGTACGAAAAATTTATGCGTAACACTGAACAAGTTTTGTTTGGCTGGAAGTGCTCAAGGTACAAGTCGCATATTATAAATGAATCAAATATTGTGCAAAATCATTGTTCATATAATTTTAGTAATCGTTTTCACTCCTTTTGCAGAGCACGACGTCTCTTGTGAGCCTGGCTTGCAACCACTTCACGGCCGAGGAGCGATACAAGGTACCAAGAAAACTTACATTAGTACATATTGCAAATTCATCACTTCAAGTTACAGATATTCAAGGCAACAAGGATGGCTGCAATACCTGAACAACTGTCGTGCCGAACTCTATAGTGGAGATTATTCTAAATTGATCATTAATATACCTAAACTTTATTATTTTGAGTAAGATCCCGAGTTCCAGAATTTTTTCGATAGTCCTTGTTGGAGCGTCATCTCTACGGATTTCGGTTAAACTTGACTAAACAATCGCTGACCGGATTTCTGAATCACCATATAACAATGCGGTTAAAATATATATGTGAAAGATATCACAGAATTCAGTTTTTAAAATTCGTATTTAATATATTTTATCGTCTTGCTGAAGTTTGTCCAAAAACATAGCAAAATTTTACAGTAAAAATGTTGCAATAAGTTTATGAATTTCAATAAGGGAAATGTCCCTGGCACCCTGAGTTGAGTACTTTGTCAACTATCAGTAGACTACTTTATTACCAATAGATGTTCTCATGCAAGGCGATAAACAACAATGTTAAGGATTTATTTAAACAATTCAATCTAATAAACCAGGCAAGAAAATTTAGGTAGTTTGCTAGTTGAATCGGATTAGGTGTTATTTGATGGGCAACACATTTCTTTATTAAGAGAATCTAGAAATAAGTTTCACAATGATATTTAATAATTCCAAAACGATATATGAGGTCGTGTTGGATCGACTTAGATGCAACTGAATTGGTATTTAGCCTGTTTAATATTCAAATTTGTGTTACTACATTTACAACAAAGTTCTGATTCAATTAACGACATTTGGTAGGGCCAAAGAGTGTTCATCAAGAGGCTTCCCAAGAGACGCATTGCTGTCAGCTCCGCAATGACGATTGAGCTGCAGAATGTGAGTTCAAAAAATCGAAAGAAGGTTTCATTTAAAAAAAGTGATGAATATATAATGCATATGTCATATTGAAAATAATTGTTCGTAAATTTCAACCTTAAACATCGAAGATCTATATAGTGATCGAGTTTCCTGATCGTTGTATATTCATAAGGTCTAGCGGAGATCACGAAAATAATTTCGAGACCTCACTATCTATGCTTAATGTTGATGCTCTCGCCCATGGCTTTGCAGCTGAAACTCTTAAAGAACGACAACGTGGTACAGTTCATGGGCGCGTGCTTTGAAAACGACTTGAACTTAATGGTACTCGAGCTCTGCCCCAGGGGCTCCCTGCATAGAATGTTGCAGCAGCACACGCAGGTTGTCCGCGATGACACCATGAAGTTTTCGCTGCTCAGAGACCTGCTTCAGGTTAGTGCATGGTTCTTCATTTTTTCGGCTACTGCGTGTTCATTTGGTGCTTCAATATTAGCTACGGTAATTGATACTCATTAATTGTTTCCATCATTTTTACTTGAATACTGACTACGTTAGCGAATAGAAAGCCTGGAGCACGGTGCTCACAATTTCATTTTGACGTATGTGTATGTGAGTTCAGGCAGCTATGCGATAGCCTTTTGAGAGGGTACCTGTTTAGAATTATATAGCTTCATTGGACATTCTTTCAGCACAGCTAGGGTCTCATTAATATTTGATTTTACAGGGACTGAATTTCTTGCACAAAAGCGCTCTGAAAATGCATGGTAATTTGAAGTCATCTAACTGCGTCATTGACTCCCGTTTTGTGCTCAAGCTCTCTGGCTTTGGTTTGCTCTCGTTCAGGAATGACGACTATCAGGAACGCGGCGAATCATGTGATAGAGGTAAATAAGGGGCGCTGTAGTGGGGAGAGCAAAATGAGAGATTGAAATTATCTTAAAGCTTTGTGCCGAAGAAAGTAGGGAAATGATGTTAATTTTAGTGTACGAACCGTTTCATTTGTGGATGCAAGCGTATACCGTAGCGTTCACTCCAACAACAAGTGAATTCAGTGTGTGAACAACAAAGAACAAGAGAAATTCACTTCAACAAGTGAATTTCAAAGCTTATTCAAACAATGAACACATATAGGTTTCAAATCATGGACTGTGCATATTATTCTGAAATGATTCGTTCTAACTTCTAACCAAATAAAAGCAAACCTTATTTATATTTAATAATTTATAGTCTTGAATATATGAATTCAATATGAGGTTTGGAATTTTTTCAATTTAACAACCAAACTTATAAATTTAGCCTATCATCAATTGCAACGAACGAATTTGCAGAGACTATGTTTTAGAAAAGATGGGGCTAATGAATAATAAATGCTTCATGCTTATTTAATAGAGGTTTGAAATGTAATCAAATTAACGATAGCAGGGAAGCTGTGGCGTGCTCCTGAGGTGCTGCGCTCGGGCCCCGGCCAGCTCAGTCCCGAGGACGCCCAGATGGCTGACGTCTACTCCTTCGGCATCATCATGAACGAGATCTTCTCGTGCGCCGGCACCTTCCCTACAGACGAGGACGTGACATACTCGGGTAAACTATGGTGCACCTTTATGAATCCTGAAAATTAATTATATAGAGAACATTATATACATTAGGACGTCTACTCTTTCGGCATCATCATGAACGAGATCTTCTCGTGCGCTGGCACCTTCCCTACAGACGATGACGTGACATACTCGGGTAAACTATGGCTCACCTTTATGAATCCTCAAAATTAATTATATAGAGAACATTATATACATTATATAACATTTTAATTGTATAGAGAACATTAAGTTTTAAAATTCATCCTTTGATTAAAAGTTTTGGAATATTTTCGCTTGAATTTCGTTCTTGGAATAGAAAATTGAAAATACCTCCATTTGACTTTGAGTTTTTCCTTCACCAACAGAGATTTCCTAGAATTTCACTCCTGGACGAGAAAATTGAAAGTGACTGAGTTTTTAACATATCTAACAGAGATCCTGAGGCGAGTGGAACATGAAGATAACCCTCCATTCCGCCCCCTAGTGGCCGAGGAAGATATTCCTCACCCCGAGATCGTTGACCTCATCCGGATGTGTTGGGATCAAAATCAGAAAATGCGCCCTCCTCTGCACTACATCAGCCAAACCATCAAGCAAAACTCTAAGTTTGGAAACTTTCAAATTTTGATAAGTTCATTTTATAAAAATATCAAGTTGGTTTTATTGTTCTTTATTGATACAAGACTAAATTTATATGATGTGAGAAAACTATCACACTGAACATAACTTGCAATAAATTTGAAACGACTGTTTTATTGATCTGTAAAAATCAATCTTATCTGAGTTATTCTAATTTGTTTCAATTGTTCGCGAGTTGTTCTGAAAATTGTCTTCCGATTTATTCAAAGGCTATTTTTCAATCATCGATAACTTAATTGACTTTGTCATTTTTTACAATCCCTGTAAGCAACCAATTTGATATTACTCTAATGCAGCAAGAATTTTCACTATATGATTTCTACTGATCTCTCCAGAGGCTATTCATCATCCAATGTAGTTGACAACTTGATCAGGCGTCTTGAGAACTACGCACAGAACTTGGAGAACGAGGTGCATGAACAGACTCTTTCTTTTCTTGAAGAAAAAAGAAAGTGGGAAAATTTGCTGCATGAAGTCCTTCCTAAGTAAGTATGGTTTTGCTTAGGTAATATAATCGAGCTTGGCTGGGGTGGCCGAATGATTAAAGATCACCCATATTGGAGCAGCGAGTTGAGGGTTCGCAACCCGCAATTTGTTGTGGAAAGTGGTCGCATTCGGCAAGGTGGCCGCTATACTAATCACAACTATACAACACGGCCTGCACTTATACTATTATTTGTTCTTATTTATAACTTTCTGTGTTGCTCCAAATAGCAAAAGAGAGAGTTTGAAAAATAATGGAGAGTTAATTGCCATATATTCTTACAAAGTTTAACCAGTTAAACAAATCAATTCTCTTATGTTTTTAGATGCAACAGTCGCCTGCAGATTTTTCGGCAAATTTAATGTACGTAATTTTCGTTTATCTAGGAATCAAAAATCTAAAATTAATCCGGTCAAGACCATGTCACAGCTAATTTTTATTATCACGTTTCATTTGAAATTCCAGATCGGTAGCACAGAAGATCATCAACCAACAGAATAACAACCGCAAGCTTGACGTGGCGGAATCTTTCGAATGTGTTACGATTTACTTTAGCGACATTGTTGACTTCGCCAAAATTTCTGCAAGTTCCGACCCTATGCAGGTTGTATTTTCGCGGCCGGTTTTAATTAAATTCATGTCAAAATGCGTACAATGACTATTTTCATAACGATTGTGGGGTCAAATTTTATACTGCATGATATAATATAATGTTTGCGCGTCGTTTTCTTAGAGTTAAGTCAGTACCAAATCCTGCCTTTTTGTGCAAAATTTCATTCTAAATACTATTTTGCTTTAGCAATTATCTTTTAGCAATTATCAAGCTGCCTTTTTACAGATCGTGGATTTACTAAACGAGTTGTATTCACTCTTCGACGACACCATCAGCAAGTTTGACGTTTACAAGGTGACTACTGATCATGTCGTTTCTATTAGTTGCCACACCATGTTTTCGCCATAATTCTTTTATGTTAGACACTAGTGAATTTCAACGGTATTTAATGTGGAAGTATGGTAAGCCTGAAAATTTTAACTTGCATTACAAATACCGAGAAAGATTTTGAACGAATAAAAGTTTTTATAGAGTGAACTGCTTATAGTTTTTTTGTTGGCTAGTGATAACTCTGCTGCTTTCCTTCTAATTTTTGATACCCTACGCTATTTTATTGAGAGCTCATATTCAACTTACATTTCTAAAATAAATCACAGCAGCAAAATTTTTCGAACTACCTACGTCCCTCAGATTTATTAATACCCACTTTATAGTATCCTTTATAGTATCCTTAGTACAGGGTGCGGCGTGGGAACTTACTCTTTTAAAAAAATCACAAAGTAAAAAGTATTAAAGATAGCGTTTTAATTCTTTCTTTTTTACAAAGAGCTACATTTAAAGTTTCGTTGGGTTTACTTACAAGTTTAATTCTTGAATATTACATCTTGTAGGTGACCTCCATGCTGTTCAATACATTTTGTCAGACGAGATCGGAAGTGCACCATATTGCGCATGGCGCCACCTTCCTAGGACTAATGGCCGCCACGTGGCGCGCAATTCAAATAAGTAAGTTCCCGCGCCGCACCCTGTATTTGTTTGGGACATAGCAGTCCCAGGCCACGATGGATCGCCGCCTCTGTGAGTGAGTTCGCATTTGGTAGAAATTGTTAAGTTTGGCTCAATAGTTGCCATTAGATTTACGCAGTCGTTATTTTTAACGCATTTTCTCATTTTTGGCAAAAATGCCCTATTATGCTCGTCATGCCCGTCCGTCTGTCTGTCCGTGACTTCACGTTTTCGTCGACGAGAAAATGCGCTCTCTGTCACTCACTGCAGTGAGTACTAAGTTATATTTTTTATGATTATTCACCGTAAGGTCGAGACCATTGGTGATGCGTACGTGGTGGCATCAGGGCTGCCTACTAAGAACGGCATGCTGCACCTGCGTGAGATCGCCCGCATGTCCCTCGCGCTGCTCGACGCCGTGCGATCCTTCAAGTAGGCTGTTGCATCGGAACAAGCGTAGGAATTACATTTTTTATGAGAATGTTAGAAATTTAAATTATCTTGAATTGAACTGCAATTGAACCTCTGTGACCAGCATCTAACTATTCGCATCTTCAATGGAAACAACGTCGAGAGTCCCCACCACTCGACGATTACTGTTGAGGGATGTTAGTGTTACTCAGTAACAATGAACGAGATACCCATGCAAACAGACAGCTCGCACAGCTTTTCGATTATTTTATTAAAGCCCACAAGCGAGAAGTTGTGGTTCTTTGGTAAGCCAACATCTTGGCACAAGGCATGTTATTCATAGACCTCTTTGGAAACTAAGAAATTATTTCAAATATTCATTTGACATTTGAGGTTGTTCAATCTCGTGCGATAATACAATTGAATTCGAGAAATGTTTTGCTAGATCTTCTATTAACACAAAATATTCTTGTTTTCTGAAGCAGTTTACGCAACTTTCTCAACGCATTATTCCACTATTACTCTCTTTTATAACGGCACAGTTTTATGTTACAATATCCACTTGCGTTTGTTCCACGACTTAACTGATCCAGCGCTAGATTCCTGTACTAAGTTTGTTTTCCTCATATATTATTGGATTTTTTGTGGATTTTATTCTTAAGACGTTACACGTTCTCCGAATATCGAAACATTCTCCAATGCCCTCATGTGCGTATGCGCAACCGTTGTTGGTTTTTTTTTTTCAATTATGGAGTATCCATCGTATTATAAATGAATGAATGAATTAATAAAATTGAATTTCTTTAGAAGTGACGCGCTGCCGGAGCAGAAATTAGAGATCCGCATCGGCATAAACTCCGGCAGATGCGTAGCTGGGGTGGTGGGTGAAAACAAGCCTCGCTACTGCATCTTCGGCGACACCGTCAACACAGCCTCCAGGATGGAGTCGTCCGGGGAACGTGCGTGCCACTGAATTTCATCAAATTTCTAGCTCCTTGTCTCTACATTGTTCAAATGATTACGATCATTAGTATTGAATTACTTGATTTCGAATTTTGTATCTGTTAAATAATTACCAATAGGCAAATATAGTGAATTTTTAATACAGATCATAAATCAATTTTACTTGATTTTCTTTGTAACTGGTAGTTATTTCTTGATATGTTACTTAACTGTAATCCGGATTACTCAGTAGGGCTTCAGATTTTCCACGATTTTGCTGAAAATTTGCTCTTCTCTTTGCAGCGATGAAGATCCATGTATCCGACTCTACTCATTCCCTCTTGCAGCAGCACCACCCCCAGTTTCTGCTGGAGCGCCGCGGGCCCATTGCAATCAAGGTATATAGAAAAAAGTTTATTACATTCAACTTGCTTGCAGGAATATTTATTCTTACACAGAAATAACAAGAAATGGGCCGCGGGCCTATTGCAATCAAGGTATATAGAAAAAAGTTTATTATATTCAACTTGCTTGCAGGAATATTTAATCTTACACAGAAATAACAAGAAATGGGCCGCGGACCCAGTGCAATCAAGGTATATAGGAAAAGTTTATTATGTTCAACTTACTTGCAGGAAAATTTAATCTCACAGAGAAACGACAAAAAAATTTCTTGTTATATCCGTTACAATCTTCTTATTTATTTAAAATTTGAACTCAGCTTTTTAATACATCTAGAGCAATGCTAGCAACAGGAGCAAGTTTCTATGTTAGCACGTGGTTACGTGAATCAAGTTTGTGCCATTTGTTTAAATCGTACGATTAATATATATGGAATCCTATTTGATTTATTTTTTGCAGGGCAAGGGTACGATGGTGACTTACTGGCTGCTTGGCGAGATTTCGGAAAATCGAGCGCCTATGTAGATTAAAATGGATAAAAATATAGACATTCAAGGTATAGTCAACGAGACGTCAACTAAATAAGGGTAGTGGTAGACTTAGTAACAATAGACGAGGTTTGAAGCTTCAATAAGCGGTGACCCTATAGGAGATAATGGATTTTTCTAATATAAAGAATACATTTTCGAGTGAAAATGAAGTAAAATTTATTACTTACCGATTTATATGACTGATTCTTATAATTTACATCTTTTTGTTATTAATTTATAAATAAAATACATAACGTCGTTAGTCAAATTTTAAGACAAAGGATGTCTGCATCGTAGAAGAAGATAATAATCTACGATCACAATATTTAACAACATCAAGCCGTTCGTACCATCCAAAGTGTCGAGGCGATTACCGGTTAACGAAACAAGAGCAGGGAAATGTTTCGTAAATGAAGCTTGCTATTTTATAGAGTAAATGAAGCGACTAACTGTAACTCACTTTGGAAGACATGTGCGGACGGCAGACACTTTGGAGGGAGTGTGATTTATCCGTTTATGAGTAGCTGGAGTGAGCGCAGGCTACATATAATTGTCATTATTATTATTAATTGGTTATTTTACTATTGGTATTAGTTATTATTGAAAAAAGGATGTGATAATATCTATATATATGACGCCCTTAGAAAAGGATGTGATAAAAGGATAATAAGGGCGTCACTCGGTTTTAAGGATAAGGTTCTAAGTCCCCAACGATTTACTACTACATTCAAGGCAGTAATGACTGGTTGTACGATTATTTATTTAAACTTATATTCAGGCCAAAGTATATTGAATATGTCGGCAATTTTATAAAAATTATTAATAATTTTAATGGATCAACCTGAAATTATTTACAGAGCTTAACAATATTTTAGGGGCGATAGAGCCCCTAAAGTCAGAGTGAAAATTGTATTTTCGAAACGTCGCAATCCATTAAAATGTCATTTGTTAACCCTGCTTTTTGATCTCCCGGCGCCAGCAAAAAATTTTGTTCCACTAATTGAAAAAAACGAATAAGAAGATTATAATTAAAAAGCATGATCTGGTCTTTAATCAAACTTGCATGTATCACGTTGCCTCACACGTTGCATGAATCACACGTTGCGTTTTCTGGACATACTGGTGCAAGACGATAATAATTCGTTCTTAACTAAGTTCATCGGAAACCTACAGACGTCGAAAAGGTCCTGAACCAAGAAAGAGAATGTTCCCAACGCTACAAAATCAGCACCATACGCGCCCTCATACATCGAGCGTTCAAGACCTGTACATCCGCTCGTGACCTGCAAACAAATTCTTGTCAACAACGGTTACGCTAACAAAACTATTGACAAAGAAAGTTCAAATATCAGAGCACGGCAAAACTGAACAGATGAATCCACATCAAGAGGTTGCGTCACCAGAATTTACTATCGAATGAACAGCGGTCATAAGACTGACGAACGAGTCCTCAATTCAATTGTGCAAAATAACATCAGCTGCACAACAGTAACTGACCGAATACAACTTTTGATTTACTACAGACATAAAAAGATCAAGAATTTAATAAAGAAAAACAATCCATGTAAAAGGTCCGGACCGCTGCAAGAAACTAATCTCATTTACAAATTTTCCTGCTTGGAAGAAGGTTGTAGACTTCTCCAAAATGTAAATTACATTGGTTTGACCAGCACGACATTGAGCCGCAGACTCACATGCCATCTGCAAGCTGGACGACCAAAGAATCATATGCGGGAGGCCCACAACGAGACCATCATCCGTGCCACGTTGGAGGCCTGCACCAGCATCGTCATGCGGTGCCCCGACGCTACAAGACTGTCGACAGCGGAGGGGTGTATAGCTAGAGGTCAGCATAACCCAAGTCCACAGTGCGATTCATATACCTTCCCGAGCGTAACGCAGCCGGACATCTTGACTGCTTTTGACACAAAGCGCCCACCACAACAGCACCGTTCAGTCACAGGCCGGAGCGCATACAGGCCGGAGCACAACTGGCCGGGGTGCAACAGGCCCTACCGCAACAGCTACTCCTAACGTAACCTAACCTAACCTGCGCCGCCTGTTGCGGTAGGGCCTGTTGCGCTCCGGCCAGTTGGGCTCCGGTGCTGTGAAGCAGTGGCTGTGTTGTGCAAAGCAGATTTACTGTTAGCCGGAGTTACCCACAGCTCATTGATCTGAGGCTATGTGTAGATATTGCATGCTGATGGTTGGCGTTGGGCCCAGGGCCTGTTTACGAGTCAATTTCGTTACTCACGGCTGCGCTCCCTAGCGGAGGAGAAGAAGGGCGAGTCTCCTGCTATCAATTTCCAAACCACCGGATTCGTCAGGACGTTGAAATTATTCTCAGATTAATTTGATTTTCGATTTTAAACCGTATCTACGATACTTTCTGTATGAACTTATGTCATGTCAAAATTTCAAGTTTGAGCGTTGTAATAACTCGTCACTTGATTTTTTAATAACTTACTCATATATTCGAAACGTCGCATCGTAGTAAAATATCATTTGGTAACCTGCTTTTTGATCTCCAAGCACATGCAAGAAATTTCGTTCGGCTTTTCGAAAAAAAAACAATAAGAAAGTTGTAAATAAAAAGTACGCTCTGGTCTTCAATCAAACATATATATATAACTATATATGTTTGAAAAAAAAAATCGATATCAAAATTATCAAAAGTTCAGGAAGAGGACTAAAAATTTTGTTGCGCCATCATACGAATCAGTGACTGTGTAGTATGCTGGAGTTGGCAACAACTGTCATTGCATTTTCTTTGCTGATCATGTATAGAAATGAAATCAGGTAAATTCTCTTGCAACTACTTATGCCATTAGTCTGCTAGAAGAACAACAAAATCAAAAACAAAGAATATGGCACGTAAATTCACAATATCTTCATGGCACACGTTTTGGAGACCTACTTCGTTATCGGTTCACAGAAATTAAAAAAAAAATTACAATATAGAATAAGCCCATATGCGTACTGCGTAGAGCATTCCGCAGTCCGCAGATAGATATTGCAGCAGGATTGCTAGGGGAGCGCTGCCGTAGCCCAAAAATTTGACTCTTAAATCAGCCCAAAAGCCAATGCCAACCCTCTACATGCAATAGAAATAGTCAGTCTAATACCTATGCAGCTGTTCTTACTTGCCTCATCTCGCCACACTAGCTTGAAACAAGCAATGCCTCATCCCACAAACTGATACTACGAACGGATTACGCCCAATAGCTCCTACACCAATGATTTAAGCCCATACCATCACTTCTTACAAATGCCGTAAGCAACAGGGTCCGCAGACCGCACCGGACTGTTGCATCACCTTACCCACTTCGCAGGCGTAAGCCCAGCCCTAACGCTCACCACTCACCAGCATCTTCTACCTCCACACTTACCCCATTCTCTCCACCTTTCCGCGATACCGCGAAGGGGTTAGGTTAGGTTTGGTTAAACTTCTTCCGCAAGCTGGTACCGAAAGGAGGGGGAGCAGGGGTAAGCGTGGAGGTTTAGCCTCCAGAAGAACGGACAGGCTGGAGAGGTAGCAGTGTGGCGCAGGGCGTACCGAAAGGAGGGGGAGCAGGGGGTAAGCGTGGAGGTTTAGCCTCCAGAAGAACGGACAGGCTGGAGAGGTAGCAGTGTGGCGCAGGGCGTTCTTTATCGAAAGTGGGGAAGGGGCTAGGCTGCATGGAATAGAAATATTTTGGGGTTTAGCGTGTGGGTTACGACCATTTGTTGGCTAATTTGCTCTGCAGCATGCTTGCGCACGGGGTGAAGTATGAAAATTATGCTGGTATTGGGCAATGCTGGGTTATTTCAGTCGTCCCATTGCGAGGACATTCGAAAGCTCCGGACGATATCGGATGTGTGTAAGTTGTTCTGCCCATTCTTCGACTTTTGACGACAAATATTTGATTTATATCTAATATACAGAAATAGTTAAAATCAGCAAAATTATACAACAACAAACCGCTAAAATGCCCAAGCACGGTGAAATACTGAAATTGAAGAAATGATGGTTAACATATTAATTTTGATCGTCCTTGCCCTTGGACCTTGGTCGGTTTTTCGTTCCAAAAATATTATTTAAGATAGAGAATGGAAAATAGGAGGAATTAGAGTTGCACTTAAAGGAAGGAAAGTTGAATCACTTGAATTTTAATTAGACTAAATAACAGCTAGTAATTTATTGACAATTTGTCTCTAAGTTGAACACAACAAAATGAACAAATTAACCTTCAATAAAACTTGAGTAGGCCTAATAAGAAATCATGCCACCTAAGTGAGTAAAGTGACCAAACCGAGTAGCTTGCTGAAGAGTGAAGACCACCACTGCCCTGGATGCATAGTGGCAAAGCAGAGTCTGCCAGAGAGTTTTTTAGACTCTGTCTCAAAGACTCAAGTTAATTTTTGAGTCCTAGGCCTTGGCCTATAAGTATACCAGTAAACTCAGTTAAGTATCATGGATACCAGCATTATCATACTTAAGAAATTGGCTACAATCTTGAGTAAATGAGGAAATTAAAAATGAACTGATTCTAAAAAATCTCTGGTTTGTCACTATGGATACCAGAATTATCATACATAAGAAATCTGTTAAAATCTTGAGTAAATGAGGAAATTAAAAATGAACTGATTCTAAAAAATCTCTGGTTTGTCACTATGTCCAGGCTCTGGAAAAGTCCTATTTTTGTCTGAAATATCGTGGCTCAAATATCATATAGGGTAAACGCGGTATATTCCGACACTTTAAGGATGCATCGAGAAATGAAAAACTATAAAAAAAAAACCGTATGCGTTACGTAAGTTCTGTTGCCTTCACATGACTCTCAAAACACTTCACTACGCGTCAGCAACGATGAAACGTCACAAAATGTTGCCATATTTATTAAAAAGCCTTTAGAATGGAAACCTACCAAATCCCTATATTCCGTCACTTTGTGTGGCAACATCCGACACGTGGTGAGTCGTATTGCG